AAAAAAAAAAAAGAACTAAACTCAGTATCTGTTAGGGGCCTCATCTGTACTAATTACAGAATTAGGTACACATTATCTCTGTTGATTTGGATGGAAGTGTCCCCTAAATGCACAGCCCTTCCATTACAATTGGTACTCTGCTTGTCTGGTGGGCACACAGGGATGGGATAATGACTTCTGCTTCAAGAGAATGTTTTCTGTCGAAGCTTTACTCTGTTTCGTGTGGGTGCAAGCACACAGAAGTCAGCTAGTGGCCACTGCTGGTCGTAGCACATCTCATGGCATTGAAAAGATTCACTAGTTGGCATTGTGGGCTCACTTTTGTTTCTCCTTCAGCCTTGGTCCTTTTCTCCAGAGATGAGGTACCCGCACTTGGGGGCAGGAAGGCAGCCCTTGCATAGGGCACAGGTTCAGGACCAAGGAGAGCTCCTGCCCGGGTGGGCTGCCATCCTCCTCCAGAATCTACCTGCTTCCCATGAGTGGGATTCCAAAAAAAAAAATCCCCAAACTATCCTGAACTCCATGAGCTTTTGTGAGTTTAAAACAGTGAGGGCTTGTGCAGTGACTGTATTTGCACTGCACAGTGTTTCCCTCCCTGATGTTTACAAGAGTTGCTGGGGAAAAACAGAGGTACCTTTACAAGCAGGAGGTAATCCATTGCATCACTCAATAGCAAGCTTTACATATCTTTACTCAGCTGTTACTCGGCTCCCTTTACAACAAAGAGGCCAAATGCCAAAGACTAGTCCTGAGAGTCTCCCTGTTCAGAGACTTTTTAGTAAGTAACTTCCATGGCATAGCAGTTAAGAAATACTTAGCAGAAATAACACACCACCACCACTACCACCCTCCAATTTTCAAGTCTCTTTGCACTTGCACTCACAGCCCCCATTACCAAGAAAATACACTGGATATTCTGGGATGTAATTCAGCATCTTTCCTGCCTGAAGCTAGATTGCTTTGCATGGTATTATTTAATCATTGTATTAGAATCCGAATTGCCAACAGTGTGGATTAGTTTTGGAATCACCAGGTTAGAATTGAATTAAGAGAGGATGTGTTACCTTATTCTGCTATAATACTTGTAATAGAGCTCCAGGGAGAAAGTCAGACATGTTTGTAGAAATCCACCACAGTTCTCAGGCTGGCTTATATATGTTTAGCATGCTGGCTTCTATGTGGGCCATTCCCAGGCCTTCCCTCCTTAACATCAGTTGCAGAACTAACTTTGGAATGAAGCACCTCAGGTTCTTCTGTAAATTTAATAACTAGCTTCTGTGTTGTGTGACCGTCAATACAATACTTGACTACCACATGCAGATATTAACTGCTGGCCTAAAATATAATTAATTAGCTTCCTATACGTAGAGAGTATGCTTGATATTTCTATCTACCATGTACTCTGATGTGCTTTGAACAGGAAAAGAATGGTAGTCACTGGTAGGTGAAAAGGCAGCGTGATGACAGATGAAATTTGCAGCTATAGGATAATGCACTCTGGAGGGAATAATTTCACTCATTAATATTCAAGAGTGGATACTAGTTTTCCAGGGCCCTGCTTAGTTGCTTGTAAACCTGGGAAAAAAAGTTTCTGCTGCTTACGCAGCTGTTAGCAAGATGATAATTTTGCTATGACAACAGGAAGTTACAGAAGTGTTTTAACTCACTACTGCACTGGGAAAAAATGTGTATGTAACAAATGAAAGAGGAAAGTCATAGGAATAGAGAGCATTTCCATGTGTGGTAACAAACCTGTACTTAGTTGCTGTCACAAGGTTCTTTCAACAGCTTGACATGCTTTTGAGTTAGTAGGCTCTTCTTGTCCCTCCTAGTCATTTGAGAAGTGAGAGCTTTGGGCCCAGAAGAATAGCTCTAGCACCAGATATCAAACTTATCTTGGTAACTTTTGCCTTGTTAGAATACAAGAGAAAAATTAGGTAACAAAGTGAGGTCTTATCCAAGCAGAGGGTTGTGGAGGAATTTTTTTCCCTCTCTGATTAAGCTCTCACTTCTTCAAACTTTTTTAAATCCCCTCTAAGAATAACTCAGTGAAAGTTATTACCACTAAAGCAGAATTACAGTATTCATGTATTTAGAGACAGTGCAAGGTCTCAATGCCAATTTCTCTGTCATTCTTTATCTACTTCAGTAAAACCTTTTACAAGCCTTTGTTATTCATGTCATCTCTATTTCAAAATGTGTAATGTACATTTATTTGGGTAGAAGGAAATAGGCGAACCAACACAAAGCACTGGAACAGATGAACTGTGTCAGTTTTTATTTCTTGTGCCTTCCAGCTTCATGCTCACTTATTGTGGTAACTTGTTTCATGAAGCATTAAGTACAAGAGTCTATAAATCCATCTGGACATAATGCAACTAGAGTTTATAGCAAGTGAAAACTTTATTTCCAGCATTGCTGCTATGAAGTTTTATAATTTCCTGAATCTTACCTTATATTTAATATTTATTTGCATGTATTTCCTTGTTTTAAAAAACCCCCACAGAATCGAACTGTACAGGATGTCAGATTATCAATTCCCCATAAACACTATGCTGATGTTTATTTTTATCATTGTGAATAAAGTTTCAACTCACAAAATTCCATTGTTTACAGGTGTTTTGAGTATCATCTGACTACTTCTTGACCTATAATTAGAATAGCGTTTAAGAATGGAAAGGTTCACAGTTCATGGTTCTTCTGAGGAAACAAATAATTATATTTGCTACTCTGTGTCCACTACAAAGAGGCCTTTGAACCTGCAGAACCTATGTTAATCAAAACCAAAATGCAGCATCACTACTGGGGTTCTGCAGGGCTCCATCTTAGGCCCTGTCCTCTTCAGCCTCTTCATAAATGACTTGGACACAGGACTGGAAGGGACATTAAGCAATTTTTCAGATGTCACAAAACTGGAGGAGCTGTTGACTCACTTGAAGGCAAGGAGGCCCTGCAGAGAGGCCTTGACAAATACCAACCGTATGAAGTTCAACAAGGGGAAGTGCCAGGTTCTGCACCTGGGATGGGGCAACCTCGGATGTATGTACAGGCTGGGGAATGAGATGCTGGAAAGCAGTGCCATGGAAAGGAACCTGGGGGTCCTGGTTCCTGGCAAGTTGAATATGAGTCAGCAGTGCCCTGGCTGCCAGGAGGGCCAAATGTCCCGGGGAGCATCACCAGCCAGTCAAGGGGGAGCACCCCCAGCCAGTCAAGGGAGGGGATTGTCCCGCTCTGCTCTGCACTGGGGCAGCCTCACCTTGAATACTGTGTGCAGTTTTGGGCACCACAATATAAGAAAGATATTACGCTATTAGACAGCGTCCAAAGGAAGGCAGTGAAGATGAAGGGCCTTGAGGGGAGTCCATGTGAGGAGTGGCTGAGGGTACTTGGTCTGTTCAGCCTGGAGAAGAGACTGAGGAGAGACCATCGCAGTCTACAACTTCCTCATGAGGGGAAGAGGAGGGGCAGGCGGTGACGAGTGACAGGACCCGAGGGAATGGCCTGAAGTTGTGTCAGGGGAGGTTTAGGTTGGATTTAAGAGGTTTTTCACCCAGAGGTTCACCCAGAGGGTGGTTAGGCACTGGAAGAGGCTCCCCAAGGAAGTGGTCACAGCATCAGCCTGACAGAGTTCTAGTGTTTGGATGATACTTTCAGGGACATGGTGTGACTCCTGGGGATGGTCCTGTGCAGGGCCAGGAGCTGGACTCTGTGATCCTTGTGGGTCCCTTCCAACTCAGCATATTCTGTGCTTCTGTGATTTGTACAGTCAAGAGGAATGTGTAATAATAATGAGAACTCTGAGGGATTTTTACCAGAGGATGGTTGATTATGTGCAAATCAAAAAATTCTGGGTTTGGCTTTAAATAGCGGCATTTGGAAATTAGACAAAAGCCTAAGAAGCTGTGAGAGTGCTGTGGAGAGCTACTGAGAGATGTTTAACTACTGAGTGATGCTTAACAGTGTTAACATATTATGTATATTTTAATCTATTAATCTCTTTCCAGTCCAGTTAAATTCAAAACACCACTTCCTTTTGTTTCCACAACCAATGAGAAAACTTGCAGTAACTCAAGCCTGAACACTGTGTTTAACAGTTAAATTAGACAAGGCATAACAAATCAGGATTTGAAGGACCAATTTGTGGGTTTTTTTCTCAACTTTGTCCTTAGAGGCACAAGTTGTAGCAGCTGCTCTTCACTATGACTTAATGATTTCATTGAATCACATAATCGTTAAGGTTGGAAAAGACGTTTAAGATCAAGTCCAACTGTCTACCTAGCACCACCACAACAATCACCAGTAAAACATGTTCTCAAGTGCCACATCCACCTGTTTTCTGAACACTTCCAGAGATGGTGACTCTACCACTTTGCTGGGCAGATCTGGTTTAATGCAATGATCTGTATATTAAAAATAGTGGCGGATCATACAAGTACACCTGCCAGGCATGTCTTTTTTTTTGCTTATGTTACAAATTATGAGAACTAATATGAAGCAAACAGACTTTGCATGATAATCAGATGTTTGTGTTAGATCAAAGACACGAGTGCAAACTGAAACAGCAGTCTGTTTTAGATAAATGGATAGCACTTCTTCATGTCTTTTCTTCAGAAAGAGGCTTCCAGCCAGTACTGGGAAGAGCAGCAGTTGGACCATTCTAGTGAAGGTGTAGTCAAAGCTGCGGCAGAACTCCTATGGAGCTGAAATGCACCAGCTGACACGCTGGCAGCCACAGCTGTGACAAGGCCGTGCCTCTCGGGGCCGCCCGACAGCGGCCGCAACAGCTGCCCGGCCCCCAGGAAACCAGACCAGAGCGCGGGCTTTGCTACGGCTTTATTCGGGACCGGACGGCGCCGGGGGACTCGGGGCCAGCAGTAAGGCTCAAGAAGGCGTTTTGTATAGAAACAACCCCCGTCTCCTCCCCCGTCGGCCCTTCCCGGGTCCTGTGGACGGGCGGGCGGCGGGCAGGCAGCACAGCGGCTGTCCCCGCCCGGGCCCCGCTACCTGCCCGCGGCGGGCCGGTAGTGCAAGCTCCGCTCCAGCTTGCTCGCCGTCAGCGTGCCCGGCGATGGCGGCGCAGCCGGGGTTGAACACGGAGTAAGCGCTGAGCTCGCCGGGCCGCCGCTCGGCGGGGCCGCGGGTGCCGGCGTACATCCAGTAGAGCAAGGAAGAGACGAAAGTAGGGCAGCCCCAGCTCCAGCTCCGCGAACAGCGCCAGCAGCACGGGCCCAGAGAAGCACCTTCAGCAGCAGCGGGCGCGCCCACACCGGAGCCGCCTGCGCCGGCGGCGATGGACCTGCGGAGGCGGCAGCGAGACGCGGCTCAGGCACCGACTGGCGCCGCACCCCCGACCCGCCCGCCTCGGCACTCACTGAGCAGCGCCGCCGCCCGGCCCAACTGCGGCCCGCGGTCCCTCGGCGGGCTCCGGAAGCCGCGGACACTCCGGCGGGTCCGCGGGGCGCGGAGCGGCCACAGCAACTACCGCGGGCGGCGCGGAACTCGGCCAGCGCCCGCTGCACGGCCGCCGACATGGCCGAGCCGCGCCTGCGCAGGGCCCGTGACGGCTCCGTGGGGAGGCGGGGCCGGTGGAAACATAAAAAAACGGGGAAGAAGAGCTGGGTCCCCCACCGTGGGGAGCCACAAGTAGTGAGCTGTTGCTCGCGTCGCTGCTCTGTATGGGTAGCAGAGCCGGCCGACCGGCTCTGGTGAAAAGCTGTAGTTCACCAGAGGCCTCCTCTTGTGTTTTGTTTTCACAGAATCAGAATCTATCAGGTTGGAAGAGACCTCGAGTCCAACCCATGACCGAACACCGCCATGTCAATTAAACCATGGCACTAAGTGCCATGTCCAGTCTTTCCTTAAGCATCTTCAGGGACAGTGACTCCACCACCTTCCTGGGCAGTCCATTCCAATATCTAATCACCCTTTTTTGTGAACGAATTCCTTCTAATGTCCAACCTGAACCTCCTCTGGCACAGCTTGGGGCTGTGTCCTCTTGTCCTTTCACTAATTGCCTGGGAGAAGAGGCCTACTCCCACCTGGCTACAACCTCCTTTCAGGGAGTTGTAGACAGTGACAAAGTCTCCCTGACCTCCTCTTCTCCACGCTAAACAACCTTAGTGACCAGTGTTGGCACCAAAAGGAAGAGGTGGGAGAGAGAATAAAGTGTGGGGAAACCAAATCCTGGGGAAGGTGAATAAAGTGTTCACAGCCAGGCTGACCAGCAACATTTGCATCAGGCATTCGTTTTAGAAGAGTGTTGAGCAGCCCAGGCAGGGGCAGCATGGAGGAGGTGGAGGAGGAGGGCACTGCCGTGGCCACGGCCACTCACCATGTGAGGAGCCAGGGCTCACCCTGTGCCACCCGCTGCTGGCCATGGAGAAAAGTGTGTGGTGAGCTCCCTCCAACAGAGGCCCACAGGCCTTGCCAGCATCCATCTCGCTCTCTCTTTAAATAAAAAACTAAGATTGGGAAAACCAGCTCCATCACATCACATTTCAGCTATCAGCACTGCCAAGAAATGAAAATTTATTTACAGGATCTGTCTCTTAGCCTCAGGAGTAAAATATTCATCATTCTCCAGCAGTAATAGTCAGCAGTGAGACATCATTTCATCCTGCAGTGCTGTTTCCAGTTACTTATAGCCTTCTCAGAAGTGACCTTTGGGGCTGAATGTCTCATGCATGTGTCAGCTCAGAAGTGATTATGAGAAGTCTAATAAAAATCAATTTGGGTGTTCTTAAGTTATCTTAATGTGGAAAAAATTGTGTTTTTCCCCAGCTAAATCATTTTTCAAATGCCTATTTTATGCTTGGTTACAAAATTATTTTCTTTTAACCTTCCGACTTTACAAAAAGTGCTGCAATGAATGACATTTTTCTCTCTATTTGTGGAAATTTGATTTTGAAATAACAGTCAAAAATGTTTTAAGATAGCCTGCACAGGGCATCATTTTAATTTGATATTTTTTTCTTCCTCTTGTTCTACTGTTCATTGAAATAGCTCCTTGTTCTGTATATATCATTAGTCACACTAGTAGTTATACCTGAGCTTAATACCTCCTTTGCGAGCTGCACTCAGTGATTCACATGCTGTTAAATTTAAATCAAAATTTTCTGGTTTTACTATGTGTTTGCTATTGTGCATCCAAATAGCTATTTTATGGCTATGTTGAGCTACCTATATTGCCATGTATTGTTAGGAAACACACAGAATAGTGCCATGAATCAGGCCTTTGAGGCCTAAGAGCACTCCACTACCCTCAACTGTAAATGAGGGTTTCACTGCAGACAAATACCTGTACAAATTTGTACTCATAAAGTCTTAAATTTCTTCAATATATCTTGTTTTAAACAACAGCTTAATTGAATAGACAGTTTTGTTTGTTTGTTTAACAAACCATACGGACAGTTTGTTTTCTACTCCAGTGCCTACAAAGATCCTTGGCAGTTCACCAGTCCTAATCTTTGGATCCTCAGCCTGTGATTGGGAGTGCAGAGGGGACATGGAGAGGCTGAAGAATACTTCAGTGGGACTTGAATCACTTCATGTCTTTCTCACTATTTATGAGAAAAACAAATTGAATATAGTGGGTCTGTAGGTGTGAGACTGAGACAAGGGTTTCTCCCCTTTGGTGCAGCCAATGATTAATTGATAAATCTCTAAACCTGCATTCTTGATAACAGAAATCCTGAAACTGCCCATCAACTTCTAGGAGGCAGCATTAAGATCACTTAAAAAACTTAGGATTTTTTTTCATTTGTTTTGTAATAGATCGTACTACATAGAAGTTCACATGTGTATTTCTCTCTGCCAAGAAGAAAACCTTTGTTCTTTATAAATTTCCACTTCAACAATTTTGAAACCTTTTTCCTTATCCCGGCTATCAACTTTTCATTATATTTTAGTATTTATGATACAGAAGAATTATTGCATTCTGCTCTCAGCCAGTTGTCACCAGCGTAAGGAACTAGTGTTCCAAGCCATTAGGAACTTTGTCTATGGCACTCTGTCAGCAAGTGAACTGAAGGAGGTAAAGTGCCTGCTGAAAGAATTGGCAGAACAAGAAAGCTATCGAAGCCATACCCAAAGTGCATTCGATTTTATATTTTTGGGGCGGTGACTGCAGAGTTTTTCTTAATTAGTTATCAAGTATCTCTGCTCTTCCATGCTCCTTAAAGAAGAGAACTGAAACTAATTCAATGAGGTGTTTTTATATGACAAATAGCATTAGAACTGTTTGTAGCAAAATATCAACTCAGCTGAGTTAACCTAAGCATTGATAGCAACATTCAGATCCTGTGGCACCCTTTGCATGTACCACATCAGCAGCCTGTCACCATGTCTTGGTGTCAGCCACCTCTTTATTCAATAGTACAGGCTCAGGGCCTTGCTCAGTATTTTGGAGTGTTGTTGCTTGCATCCTGTGACTGCAGATACCTGTTTGTATATGCCAGATTTTTCAGTAATCAAGTCACATTAATTATCTTGATGGATTAATCTAATTCAGGAGCTCTCTCCTTCGTGAGATAAGCGTTCACTCTTGCACTGACTTGCTAAGTGCCATAAATGCAGACAGAAGGGCAACCCATTATTAATATAATGACCTAGCTTAATTAGTTCAATGGAGCTGAGGGAGCATTAGCTCTAGTTGTTGAGGTCTTGCAGAACATGTATAAAATAGATTGAAGTGCACAGACTCATATTTGTCTAATTCCGCAAAGAGCTTCCTGCATATCCATTTACTAATCAGTTCTAAACTACAGAGAAGAGCTGCTTCCTTTTTAAAAAACGGTCATTAATTTTCCTTTGTAAAATAGCAGCATCAGGGTATTTTGCCATTAGACAGAAAGAAATATTTTATTTTATTCTTTTTATTGAACTAGTTTAGTTTCTGAATTGCAAATTTTCGTGTCTGTGTGGTTTTGAAATGTATGTTTGTATATTCAGCAGTGCATACTAAAAGTTTCTGAGATGCTAGCACTTATGTTCCTGCATTATGTACTGAAATGCTCTATATTTAAACAGATTTAAAATTGGGCAGTGCAGAGTTATTAATGTTTCTGTCACAATTCTGAACTGTTCCTTATCATTTCATAGGAAGCTTCCATTTGAGGAAAAGAACAGAGTGAAAATCCCTCACTAGTGCAATGCTAGCTGTAAATGTCAGATGCTTAGTGAAAACATTGTAACAGAAAAGGGAGATGAGCTGTTCTATTGCGTTTAGAAGATAACACCCAGTAAGCACTCTGGGTGGGATTGTTTTTCTGCATTCATAACTTTAATCTGATTTCAAAGTCAAGGTTTTGAAAACTGTTCTAAAATTTCAGAATTTCAGAATATTGCCTTTTGATTTTTATCATATAGCTAGTGTGGGAAAAGAGGCATTTGCCACTTGGTATTCCTTATAACTTAAGAGAAAGGAAACCTGATTTGTGTCTCCTGTCAGTCAATGTTATGTTGGGTTTAATCAGTCTACTCATCTCAAAACTTTTTTTGAAAAAAAATACTTTGTAAATTAATTAACAAAGTACTTTTGTGAAAGTATTTTCTGGAAATATAGAAGGCTCTTTGGGCTTGGAGTGAATATTTTTTTATTCTAGGTTTGTATAGCACTTAGCCACAACATTCTATAACTAGATGCTGTAATAGCATTTCTCCAGACAGGAGAAATGAAGTAAATAGAATGTCAGAGAAGACCTTAAAACCAGTTGTAGATCTGAGTTCTGGTTCCAAGTCTATTTCCTTCAAATCCATTGGAGTTTAAAATATAGAAAATTCTATATGCTAGAAGTTGAATAAAGAGTGAGGAAGACAGAAGGCGACTACATTATCCCCTTACACACATACACACTCAGTCTTTAGAAGTCTTTCGTTAAGTGTGCACTGTAAGCTTTAATACTCACGTTGCCTGCCAGTTTTATGCAGCCACTTCCACGAAAACACCAAGGGCATCACAACACTGATTGATTTCATTTTTAGAGAAGCAGAACGCCCAGAAAGGCGTTGCAGCAACCTTTTCTCATGCCTTCAAGCCTCTGCCCTATATGATAGGGCAAATCGTCGTCCAGAAACACTGAGCTATCATTGCGGTTGGCAGGGTGCGTTCCAGCCAGGTGGTTGGAACCTCAGGCTCTTGCTGGTAGATATAATTTTCTTGTAAACAGTTTAAATAAGGGTGAGAGTTCATCTGTGCCCCTGAGATAGGTATACCAGGCATAAGGGCTTGGCGCTATTTATTAATTCCCACAAATTATGAATGAGCGAGACATCATGACATTCCTATTCCTCATTGGCTCTACACAAAAGAAATTAGCTTATCTAAAACAAAATAGTTGAATATGTGTATCTTTATGTAAGGACAGAAGTCCAAACTATTACTTCTGACAAGCTGTTGCACTGTATGAAAATATTATCTGTTTACTCTTTTTGGCAATTTCTCCTTATCATAATCACCTTTTAGGCCCAACACCTGTGCTAGATTTTGGAATATTTATGATGTTTACCACTGGAAGTGAAACTGCTCAGTCAG